ACACCGGTTCACCCCTTGTTAAGTGACTTTTTATGCTTGAATGAGTAATAGGTCAGTGGTAAGTGGCTTAAACAAATAAACAGACAAACAAAAAGAAACAGTCCTGTGAAAATGGTCTGGTACAAGAACTGAAATAAAATATGAGTGAAAAGCAATGTGTAAAAGACTGTTGCTCAAGACCACTTTAAAGAATTACAACAGTCTGTCTCCTTGGAAGCAAAGCATAAAGAAATGGGTGTTGGCTCAAAAGTTTTGCACGCTACTGCATTTAGAAGTCCAAATTTTGCAGCTTGTGTGGATGAAAACAAAAGTCAAATATCATACTGATATCTCAGATATGAACATACACACACGAACACGCACAAGAGTACACTGATCCGGTCAGTTGCTAAACACTGAATAGCAGGTTTTTTAATAGTAACTAACTTTAGCATTGCTCTAAATTAAAACCACGCTGTTAGAATAATGATTAATGGTATTTCTAATCTTAGAAATTTATCTCAACTTATCCCAACCTTCTTACCGACTCCAAAGAGATTTTATGATATTTAGTTAAAAATGTTAACTGATTTAATCATTCAATTTCTACTGTATGCACCTATTTCAGTTGCTATTCAGCAGTCCTGAAAACTCCAGCTCAGCACGGTCACAGTCCTGTAATGTATTCAGTTCACATCTTCCTTCCTTCCTTTAAAAGGACACAAACAGTCCTCAGATATGTTTTAGTTTGTGAGCCAAGGGCAGGTTGCAAAAAGAGATGACTTTAATAAACTTGTTAAAGTAGATGAGACAATCCAATAAAAGTCCCACTGAAGGACAAACTAATAAGAAGAGTCAAAACATAAAAGACAAAATAAGGCAGCAGGAAGAGGTGAACATGAGCAAACCACAAGAAGAAATAGCAGCTCTAAAAAAACATGTAATCGAATGAGGACAAAAACACAAAGAAGGGGAAAAGACAAATGTAGAAAGGGGTTGAGAAAATAAAACAAAAAATTAAAACCTTTAATCAGAGAGTTTTTAATATCAGCGACTTTATGTTCATGTTGTTGAGCGACTGCTCTTTAAGAGGTGGTTTCTAAAATTCTCCTCCCTGTCACTTTAACAAAAAGTTATATATCTTTAATTTATCTGAGAACTTTTATCCTCATAGCTGCCTTTTTGGGAGACATCGCACTGGATGAAGACGACCTCCGCTTATTCAAAGGAGGTGATGATGCACAGCACGCAGTCCAGAGCAACCACACAAACTCAGGTGTCGAAACAGAGAAAACCCAACTAATATGCTAGGAATTCAAACTAAATGTGCAAATAAGGGGATCATAATCAAAACAAACTCCCCTGAACGTCCTATCTATCTTTTACAGCTAACAGTTCAACTTCCAGTGAAAACAGAAGGAGTGAGAGGGCTGCTGACAGACGCAGCCTCCGTCGACAGAGAAGAGCAGCCACCGCCAGACCTGAGCGAGTATGGCCTGATGGTATCATCCCCTACGTGATCAGCGGAAATTTCAGTGGTGAGCTTTGGTGGACAACAATAAGTCTTACATCTGATTTCACCATGATAGGATGGTTGCAGGTTATCAAAAAGCAAATGAATTTTAGGTGTAATGCTTAACAGTGCATTCACCTGACAATTCAATCAAAAAGAACTGACAACATACCAGACGGCATAGAGGTTATTTTCTGCAGACTTGCTGGGCCTCGAAATCTTCGGCTTGCCCTGTAGTGTGCATTGGGCACACAAACATTTAAAAACCACTGCTTTAAGGAGTCTTTGTTGCCATGTGCAGCTTGGACATCCTGAAACTGTCAACATCTAATTCAGAGTTTCCTTTCAGGCAGTCAGCGAGCCATTTTCCGTCAGGCGATGCGTCACTGGGAGAAACACATTTGTGTAACGTTCACAGAGAGGGCGACTGAAGAAAGCTACATTGTTTTCACTTACAGACCTTGTGGGTAAGTTGGGAGCATGTCAACATTTTTATGATGTCATCTGTTTTTTAACAGAAGTGTTTGTCTCAGCTTACTGGCTTAGAAAAAAAATGCACAACGATCTAAACTAAAATTATTGGAGTTCTTATTCATTTATTTATTTATTTATTTTTTACCAGATTTATTGTTTCCACTGTTTTCTATTCAGAAACCATAGACTGTATATAAAAGATAGAAAGCTCAGACTGAATACTTTCTTTAAAAGTGGGCATATACCTCTCTCTATAGTTAACCTGTTAAAAACATGGGGAGGGGGGGGGAATAAAAACAGGATGTGGACCTGAATAGTGTCGCTGACCGGCAGGTGTTGCTCCTATGTGGGGAGGAGAGGTGGCGGTCCTCAGGCTATCTCTATAGGAAAAAACTGTGATAAGTTTGGCATCGTTGTGCATGAACTCGGCCACGTCATTGGCTTCTGGCATGAACACACACGTCCAGACCGTGATGAGCATGTAAGCATCATCAGAGACAACATTCAACAAGGTACTCTTACTGCATGCGTGCGTTGAGGATGAAATAAATATGTGGGAATGGTTACTGATGCTGCAGATGTTTGTCTTTGCATTTAGTTTTTTGCCTGTTTGTCCATCAAAAGGGCAGGAGTATAACTTCCTGAAGATGGAACCAGGGGAGGTCGACTCACTGGGAGAGGTATACGACTTTGGCAGCATCATGCATTACGCAAGGAATACATTTTCCAGGTTGGCATCTTTTTTTGCTTCATGTTTTATCTCCTAAAGTTAGTATATTCTCAACAGAAATGTAAGCTTTTTTTTCTTTTGTTTTTGTGTTTTTTTCTGGACATTTACACTTTTAGCTTTACCATATTTACATTAACAGGCAATTAAAAACCTTTCTTACGGCAGTTAATTGCTAAATATCTCTTAAATTCATGATTTTCTCTGCCTACTTCCAAACCGCAAACACACTAGCCTGACTAGCCCCACGTGTCATCGTCACCAAGCTTGTTTCTGATTATCTAACAGGGCTATTACCCTGACCTGGTGTTTGTCCCTTGAGTCAGCTCTGCTTAGCATGCCTCACAGGAAACCTCTGGGGGATTTGTCCTGTATTGTTACAGAAGCGATTCCACACTAGTCTCCTTTTTTGTTTCTCTCCCATGCATGTCGTTGCCCCTTTCAGTTTTACGGTGTTTTGGTTTTTTTACCCCCATAACCACATTGCAGGTCTGGGTCATGGAGGCATGCCAAGCTAAAAAAAGGCCCCGCAGTTCAGTCTTTGTCAAACAATTTGGGGTGGAGTGGCCTTTTACTCTGGCATTCAGGAGCGGGCTCCACTGAGCCGGCTGGCACCGGCGAAAGGCCCCATTCAGAGCGCTCTGTTTGCACATGCTTGTTATTCATGGGTGCATCACCATGGGAACTGCAGGGTGGGCGCTCCAAACTCAGTGAAAGATGATCACAATCAATAAATCAAGGTCCTGAACAGGCGGTACATCAGTAAAATCATGTAGATTTCATCGATCCTTCAGTTTAAAACCTCTGAAACTCAGATCTTCTTGCACATCAGTAAAAGTTAGAAGTTAGAAGATGTTTTTTTTCCTCTTCAGGCTTTAAGTGTTGTCACTGAATTCTTTGCTGTGGTTTTTCTGAAACAGAGGCATCTTCTTAGACACAATCTTGCCCCGTTATGATGTCAATGGAGTCAGGCCGTCTATTGGGCAGAGGACCAAGCTCAGTAAAGGAGACATTGCACAGGCCTGCAAACTCTACAAATGCGCAAGTAAGCTACATTTGATGTAGAGAGGCTAACCAAACTTCACCAAACTATATAATGAAATCCCATGTGGCCTTTATACTTTTATTATTTATTAATTTAAAAGTAACTGGTCTAACTGAAGATAAAACTTCTCTACCCTTGTCAAACAAAAACAAAGGTTTAACAAAAAAAGGTTCAGGGATTCTTGCTTGATATTAAATAGAGCACAAAACCATGGAACAAAAACCTCAATATTCAGGAGAAATAATACAATTTTACTCTTGGATAAAATTCTTCTACGATCGAACACAACAACACAAATGGTTTAAGATGCCAAAATTAAATCCCCCGTTCACTTCATGCTATTTGGACAGCTGTGCCGACTTCAATATCTAATATGAAATCTTGTCAAAATACAACAACACCAAATGCCGTCAGTTTAAAGAAAGAATAAATATTTCACTGCAGTACATTTCTAAGAAAACAGTCTTGATGCCGTATTTTATCTGCTTTCTTGCAGAGTGTCTTCTGGAGTGCGTCACACTCATTTACCCACATTTCCAGGCAGACGTCAGCTGTTGATCCATTTACTGAGATCAACAGCAGACCTTTGGAGTTCCTGCGTCAATGAATATGTAAAAATTGCTCAGCTCACTAATATGTTTCACAGACTCGTGGGCCTCATGTTCTAGCCGAGAATGACGCAGTGAACGATGGTCAGGTTAAGGTTGATCTTTAGACACACAGGAGTGTCGCTCCTCGTCTCTATCAAACCAATTATAGTAGCTGCTCACTTGCAAAGCCAACAGACTATCCACATAGCTGGATAGTCTGGATAGTAGCTTTTATGTTTTGCTTAGAGACGTTCTTCACACTGATGGTTTCTAACTGCAGGACAGTGCAGACAGCAACTGTGTTGCATACTGTAACTGCAATCAAGAAATGAAAAGCTGCTCACTCTTTAGGGAATTCTGATATAGATAAGGCATGTGGTTTAAGACTCCTAAAAACTCTAACACTCCTGGATCCTTTTCATTTCTGTTTTATTTAGTTAGTGGTAGTTTTCAAGTTGAAACAGCAGTTTCAACCTGATGGCAGCATAATGAAAAGTCTCATCTCTAGTGTAACAGGTTAAAAGTAAAAGTGATTTTATTATTATGTGCACCATGGACTGTTTCATACAGAAGATGATTAGGGTCACTGGAACAAAAATTGGGCACATCTTTTTTTTTTTTTTTTTTTTTCAGAATTCAGACTTAAAGTTTAGAAAAAAAGTCAGAATTCTGACTGAAGAGTGAGCAGCTTTCCACTTCTCGATTGCAGTTACAGTCAGAATTATGACCTTTTTTTTCTCAGAATTCTGGAAAAGGAAAAAAAAGGTGTGTCCACTTTTTTTCTTTCAGTGGCCCTAATCGTCTTGCATAGATTCAAGATGTGCTAAAAATCCGAGGAGATTATATGTTTTTATCCCCATTGTACACCCTATTTGAAGCAAGACATGGAACTCATTTTTCATTTCTACTAATTCTGTGCTTGTGAGGCACTCATGACTGAGAGTTAATCATCACTGGTTTAAATAAATTGATAAAAAATGATATTATTTCTCCCTAAAATGAACCCTTTGTGAACTGTTTTTTTTTTGTTTTGTTTGTTTGTTTTTACCTGAACACCAATCAGACGATCAGTCAAGGCTATGCAATGTTTCTTTCCTCACATAAACTCTTTCTGTTTTCAGTTCTTAGCTAAATATATTTTAAATAATCTCATATTGTGACAGAATGTGGGGAAAGTCTGCAGGACAGTTCCGGAAACTTCTCTTCCCCTGGTTTCCCTAACGGATACTCGGCATACACCCACTGTGTCTGGAGGATTTCTGTCACTCCTGGAGAAAAGGTACTCAATATGTGGATGCATTAGCTCCATAAGGGCATGATCAGCTTGGTTACTCACCTATTGAATTTATAAAGCCTTTATCCATAGTGATCATGAGCTAAATCAAAAGATAAAGTGGTAGTGCAACAAGATAATGAGCTTAAACACATCATATAATCATAATTTATTTTTCAAACTGCCAATTCAAAGCCCTGATGTTAGCAGTTAATGTGAGGAAATCCACTAACATCTTTCCAGGGAATACAGACACAGATAGCTGCAGATACCACAAACGAGCAGTCATTCTTATTTATGCTTATTTATGCATAAGAGCCCATGAGTAGTTAGTGGATTGTTATGTAGTTTCTTCAAGTGACTCCTCAAGTCATAAGGAAAAACTTAGCGTGCGAAAACTTGGCAGGCATGCAGACATCTGCGCGGAGCCTCGCCATCTGAAGAAGAAATTCGTGCCACTTGAACTTCAGCAGATGCAGAAACTATAACGCACGCATTACAGTCGAAGCTGTTCTGCAAGGAGGACTTGAGTAAAGTTGAAATGAGGTCCATTAAGTGTTGCATTAATGCTCCATATCAGTTAGCAAGCATTCACAGCACATGGACTGCAACCATCATTTTTACGTCTTCTGCTAAAGTTAACAAGTTTCCCAATCGCAGATGTATACTATTGAAATAAAAATTTTCTTAAATAAATTAGTGACCAAGTCATATGTTTTTTTGTTTTTTTCTCATTTGTTTGGGCTGATTGGTGTTTCTAATTTAGCCACATAGTGAATATGGCTAAGTCAGTCTAGTTATTTCATTCATATAATAGCTACTTTTGGTCGCTCTTATTCACAAGGCGTCAA